ACAAGGCCGGTTTTGCCGTCGGCCGACATGCCGCCCCAAAACATAGAGGAACCGCCCCGTATAATCATAATCATAATCAAAATCATTTATTCAGTTTAGGCTGTTACAAGCACATATGAATGTCTAGAAGCTACGCCATCGGTTCGTAAATCTACGGCGGGAGACCTTGTACCGAGAAGAACCGGCAAGAAACTCAGCAAGGGCTGTTTTTTTCTCCCTGTTTTATCATTTACAGAGTCGTCAAGTTGAAAAATGACTTCGGAGATGATTCATGCAGTCACCTTTCATTACATAATGTGAAATTATACATTAATTGTTCACCTACATTTTGATTTCTGTGTCACACAGAATAAATACAAATAGAATTATTTATAATAGGTGTAATTAAACATTTACATCTTAAATATCAAAGTAGTTAGGGCAGACTCATCTCCGCTGGCAGCACCGGTTCACGAGCATGACGCATGAACCAGCCATCGCTTCGCTCAACCATATTTTAGGGAACATAACGACCCACCTCACACGACACCACCAAAGAGACTTTTAAGAGAGCATTACTACCCATAACCACCTATATTTATGTGTGTCCTACACAACTGCAAACAAAAGCAAAAACAATGGAGAAGTCATGACCACGCCGTTTTGTCATTCAAATCTTCTTAAATAGTCTGATATTCTTACTTAAGTAATTAACTTTAAATACAGCTTTTAAATTCAATAGAAGTATCGTCAACACATGATTCATAATATATATCATATAGAAATACCCGTTGGAATGGTTGGAACAGTTCAAACCCAAGCATTTTTGTCTGTAATATAATCAGACACTTTATAATAAGTTAAGTATTCAATAGTTTCCTGGATGCAGGCTTGGGCGAAACGTTCCCCCTGTCTTCTGTACACTCTTCTGCGTCAATCGTTGCAGAAAAGGCACACTCTCGTCTCGTCTGAGAAGAGAACTGCTCTCCATTGGTCAAGGGTAAATCTCCCTGATTAATGATCGTCAATATGCATCATAGGCGATGAGGAGGTGACTAAACACCTCGAACCTCTTCAATTACGCCGTGAAGTGGCGTCACTAAGCGCGTTATATCGTCTGTACCATGGCGAGTGTTCTGAGGAGTTATTCTCTCTTATTCCGCCTTCCCCTTTCCTTCAGAAGGCCACACGCGCTGGCTTACGTTGTCATGGTCTAACTGTGGCCACAATTCCAACGCATACAAAGAAATTTGGTGACTCATTTCTTTGTCGTACTATCCGTAAATTGAATGCTCTGCCCGCTCACGTGTTCCCTCCCTCTTACAACCTGGGATCCTTTAAAAGAGGCGTGAAGAAGCAACATGCAGGCCGGCAGGGTGAGGATGGCTGGTGTGGCAGGTAGAACTGCTGTATCAGCTATCTTCGCACCTGGACTTCACCTTCACTTAACATCAGGTGGGGTGGAGTCATTTGTCGGACCTATAAAAAAAAGGTCCAATTGACGTGGTCGCGAGCAAACTGCAAGCGGGCTCGCCGATGTTCTGCGGTCAATTTTGGACCCGTAGCAGTTCTATAAGCCGCTATCTTCTTCTCCCTCTGTCTTCGTCTAATCGTAGAAACGCTCACGGTCGTTCTGCGAGTTGCCTGAAGCTGCTGTTGTAACTCAACAGCATTAGAGAACTCTCAGGCGCTTTGAAGACGACGGGGCGGGACGGGCTTTTTGTCCGCGAAGCAATAAAAACCACGTCTGCCCGTCGATATCTGCGGCTGCCCTCGCCGCGTACACAAAGCACACGACGGCAGAGGCAGTCAGTTCAGGACGTTCGTTCTAGTGAATAGTCCATCACTAAAAAGCGCGTGGCGCGGACTGAGCTGACCACCCCGCGCCGCCGTCTGCGTTACTGCATATAAACTGGTTTGTATGATCCACGGCGGGCAGCCGCGGACATGCCGCGCCGCCACTGCCCGCCGGGCACTTGCGGTGCCGGTCTTTTTACCCGACTGCCAAAGAGGGAGGGTAATGTTTAGGGAGTGTATGTAAGTATGTATGTATGTCTGTTCCTTTGTGACCTCCTGTAGCCTAAACGGCTTGATGGATTTTGATGTATGAGGTATCGTTAGATTTGTCTTGATTACGGGAGTGTCATAGGATACATTTTATCCTAAAAGTCCCACGGGATAAAGACATAATAATATTTTTTCTAAATTTCCCTTTAAAAAAATATGTATGCGGTATCATTAGATTCATTTTTAGACTGTCTTAAGGTACTTAATAATTCCCGCGATATTAATTCCCTTACTGAAGTAACAAGACTACGGTATATACCGTCTTAAAATACTAACTAACTAAAAAGTGTAAAATAAAAAAGGTAAATTTAAAAAATCAAAAAACCCGACTGCTTAATTATACTTCAAATAAAAACTGAAAAGAAAAAAACAAGTCCAGTAGTCTATAATTCTGTTAATAAGGAACAAAGCTACTTTAACAGTCGGGACCCACTGTTGAAAAATATTATGTATTCTTGAATATCTAATGGGTCCCGACTGTTAAAGTAGCTTTGTTCCTTATTAACAGAATTATAGACTACTGGACTTGTTTTTTTCTTTTCAGTTTTTATTTGAAGTATAATTAAGCAGTCGGGTTTTTTGATTTTTTAAATTTACCTTTTTTATTTCTTGCCCTCTGTGTGCGTTTGTAGTATAGGATTCACCTTGTGCTATCGTTCGCAGCGAAATTGACCGGCCCGCTCCGCCCCGTCGCGTCGTCTGCAAAGCGCCTTAGAGATGTCGATACGATGAATCGGTCGTCTCTCTCCATGGCATGGCCACCGATCTCCAGGAATCGCTGGTATACTCTTCGAACCGAAAAACGGCTCAAGTTCAGTTGCCGAGCGAGTTACGCTGCCGCATCCTTGAATGCAATAGTGCAGTCATTTGAGCGGCTTCATCAGCAGTGGTATCCATCTTCAAGGTGTTTTTTTAGAGAGATCTCGTGTGTCCTTTTCAACGGTTGGATAGCGAATAACCCCCATTGAACCTGTATTAACCTTTTTATACGCACTAAAGGCCCTAGTGGCCCTTTTGAGGGGCAAAATTGGCATTCTTTTTAAAGTCATATTTGTGGTATCAAGTTTTCTTTTAATGAAATGAAATGGGTTTCTTTTTTAAGTTTATTAAATGGGCTATTAAATGGCACCAATATTGGTGGGGTACCTTATTATCGCGGAGGTGCGATTTTTTTTGACGCCGTGTGTACAAGGGTTCCTTGTCAGGTCTATGGAACCCTACAAACGAAGGAGTGTTATTATGAAATAAAAAATCGGTTGTCTGTAAAGTCGGTTTACTGACGATAGTTGAACGTGACAACGTTTTTTTACAATGTACATAGTTCAATTCGTGACAAAACAGATGTCGAACGCTGCCGAACGAGGAGGCCGATTGTGCCTCTTTCTTGCATCGTTGCGCGCTCTTGCTTGCACTTCAAGCCTTAAATGGAACGCCTCAGAGCGAGGTAATACCGCATGAGTCATGTTTTTTCGTGCGTGCAGCCGGCTCCATCGAATTATAAGACGCTGTCACGTAAAAAATAAAAACAAGCGGCTGTCATAACGGTTTTTTAAATAATGATATTGTTTGTTTAATGTTGGCAATAAGCTAACTGTTTTAGAATCTTTAGAGCTTTTGAAGCATGGGGGTAGATAAAATGAAAAAAAAAATGCATGTTAGTACAAAAAAGTTTAATAAACTTCCAATAGGTAGGTATATCAATCTTATAACAGATTCTCTTGTCTTAAATAACGTAATAAAAATTATTATATCTTACTATTAAATGAAAATTAAAACGTACTCAATTGAAATACATACTTCTGTATTATTTTTACTTTTCACATTGTTACTTTTACTCTTCATAATAATAAAGGTACATACAATAAATTGCTGCTTTATTAATAAACCAAAATCAAGCTTAACTTAGTCACGCAGTGTTGTGTCCTGTTCAAAATAACGTTATAAATAACGTTATTTTCATAGCGATATGTTAATCGCGAGGTTAGCGTTCATTTTAATTGTAATTTTTTTATTATTGATAAAGTATTTATTGTAACGAAAATATAACTAGAAAAAATTCCCAGGCAGCAGACGGGACTCGAACCAGCACCCTTCGCAATCCGGGCGAATGCACTGACCAATTATGCTACCGCGGCCATCACGGACCGCGACTAAATTCTTCTAGCCATTCTTAAGCTGCAAGGCAGCGCCATCTCTTCGCATTATAGGCAACCCACAATGTGGGTTATTATACGGTAATAAATTGGTCAGTGCATTCGCCCGGATTGCGAATGGTGCGGGTTCGAGTCCCGTCTGCTGCCTGGTCCGAGTGGATTTTTTTTCTAGTTATATTTTCTTTAGATTTAAACATCAAGCAGTTACATATTTAAAAATAATAAAAAATATAAGTATTGTAACGTTATTTAATGGGTTTTCGATTCTGTTCATCGAACTAACGTCATGAGATTATGGATGAACAAAACATTATGTTACTTGGACTAATAGTCAAGCTCATTTTCGTTTATAACAAGGCAGTTGCAGTCTAGAACAATCATTATATATTTGAGCCAATTCAAAAAGGGTTTGTTTTTTATAAATATATTTTTTTCATGTTCAAATTTTTAAAGCATGTAACTGATTGATGTTTAAATCTAAAGAAAATATAACTAGAAAAAATTCCACGCGGACCAGGCAGCAGACGGGACTCGAACCCGCACCCTTCGCAATCCGGGCGAATGCACTGACCAATTATGCTACCGCGGCCCTCACGGACCGCGTCGAAACCCTTCTAGCCATTCTTAAGCTGCAAGGCAGCGCTATCTCTTCGCATTATAGGCAACCCGCAATGTGGGTTATTATACGGTAATAAATTGGTCAGTGCATTCGCCCGGATTGCGAAGGGTGCGGGTTCGAGTCCCGTCTCCTGCCTGGTCCGCGTGGAATTTTTTCTAGTTATATTTTATTTAGATTTAAACATCAAGCAGTTACATGCTTTAAAAATAATAAAAAATATAAGTATTGTAACGTTATTTAATGGGTTTTCGATTCTGTTCATCGGACTAACGTCATGAGATTATGGATGAACAAAGTATTGTGTTACGTGGACTAATAGTTAAGCTCATTTTCGTTTATAACAAGACACTTGCAGTCTAGAACAATCATTATATTTGAGCCAATTAAAAAAGGTTTGTTTTTATAAAAATAATTGTTTTTCATGTTCAAATTTTGAGTATTAACTAACAAAATACATGGTAATATACAGGGTATCCCAAAAAATTCCATATGGAAATAAATTATATAAACGATTTAGCCTTAAGATCGGAACATTTAAATTACCGTTGAATTATTTTTTACATTCAGCGAGTTTGACTTCTGTCTCGGTAGCTTTTTTTTTAAATTCTTTCAATGCAGTTAGTATTGTTTTGAAAATTAAAATTCAATATGGCAAAGTCTTGGGGCACCCTATATATCTAGTTGGGTAAAATTAATAAAAAAAAAATTGCAAGACTGGTATAAATGCCCAATTAGTAAACTGCGTATCATTTTAACTAGGTACATTTAAACATTAAAAGTACTTAGGGAGCAAATAAAATTGTCGCTTTAAAAATTACCCAAGCAATATTAATTATCATATAAAGTTTAAAATTTTGTGAAAATACAGAAAAAATGCAGGGTTTCGTAAGCCATGGCAAAAATAAATGCGTTGCATACTTGATCCCTAGACACTTTAAATGTTTTATTCGTAATGTTTATATCATTTCATATTATGAAAGCCTAACAATACTTTAATAGAAAACTGTTGTAGATCATTTTCAAACATCTTAGACCTTACCAAAGTCAAATGTTATCATGATTATTGTATCTCTGCTTACTGCAGCACCTTTGATGCTCTATCAACCCGGCAAAGGCTATAAGGCATGCATATAATATCAATTATTAACAATGTGCATTTCATTTTTATAATTAAAATTAAAAAAATACATATTTCAGGTTACGGACGAGCTTTGGTGATTTTACCCTACTCAAGAAGCGTATCAATGATGGCGGTGAAGAATTTCTCCTTAGAATTTTCCCTGCGCCTTCGATTGAGCCGCGAATTTCCTCACGTGTACAATGTAATCTAACATCACAGATGCGAATGCAGCATCCAAAATGAACTGTGGGATCCTGCCTGTGGGTTCAGAGAAATACAAATAAGAGTATGTTACTAATAAAAAAAAAAGGGTGCGTGTACTTATGTAGGCGCGTGAGAAGTTATCCTTCTTTGGCATCGTTTAAAATTAGTTTTTAATTGCATGCAAATAATTAATTACAATAAATTAATAAAAAGTCTGGAAAAGGACATAGTCAATAAAGTTCAGTTTTAATTTGAAAAAATAAATAAATATTCAAAATATTCAATTAAAATCGCTAATGAATATAATTTATTAGAACATATGTGATTTGCACTTATATGAAACTCAAACACGTATTCCGAATATACAAACTAGAAACATGTGGATAAATATTATAAATATGAATACCTATAACTGTTACTTTATTACAAAAAATAAAGATGTGGTTTTTGGTTCTACTACACCAATGGTCAAGAGATGGCGCTGTAGTCTCCTGAATCGCGCTTTGGTTCCGTTGTTCCAGATTAATAAATACTTTTGATAGTCCTTCACAATGCAGTCGTTAGCACCCACAAAATAGAGATTCTATATCTATTTTGTTGGTAGATTTTCTTAATGTGCGGTAAACACAAAAGTAACAAAAGTTAAAATTTTGTGTTACAGTGATGCGCGCGCATCTTATAATTTCACTCTCATCATTTTTTCATAACGCGCCTAAAGAAGTATAACTTCAAAAGAAACGACGGGTTGCACTCCGGGAGTGCTGGCAGAAGTGAAAACTTGAATATTAACGTTGTGCATTTTTGATAGTTTGGAATGGTTAGGGAATAATTTTGCACGAATTGCTTTATTTATCAGTATAAAAGTACTATCATGTATGTGGTAGAATACAATATTTATTTATTGCGCTTTCATACACAAACATGACAATTTATATTATATTTAAGACGTTTATCTCTCAGAAAAATCAACGGAAAATACTTTATGTAAGAGGGATGAAGAAAATTACCTTTAAGATCACAGCACATCAGCCATTGAAATGTCGTATGTTGTTCAATCTTGCCGCCAGACGTCTTCGCTTTGATTGGCTTCATGAACCAACATCCAACTTTATTGTGACCTCTGCGAAGAGAAATCGTCAGTATTTTTGATTAGTATTTTATTTAAGTGGGAAAATCTTAAGATAATTAATAATTGGTCAGTGCATTCGCCCGGATTGCGAAGGATGCGGGTTCGAGTCCCGTCCGCTGCCTGGTCCGCGTGGATATTTTTCTTGTAAAACTTTTCTTTAGATTTAAACATCTAGCAGTTAAATGCTTTAAAAAAAAACGTAATACATAGGTTTTTTTTTTGTTTTTTTTTATAATCTTGAAAAATAAAACAAAAAAACTTGTGGCTGTTATTTTTCTAGATATTTTAATCTACAGACAATTTTATAAGGAAAAAATCTACACAGGCCAGGCATTTATGGAAGTGTCTAATTTTCTCTAGCCTTTCTTAGTCTGCAAAGCAGCGCCATCTCTTCGCATTGTAGGTACTTCTTCTTTCAACTGTTTAATACTTGTAAAGGTATTGATTTGACATTGTGGGTTACCTAGAAAGCGAAGATATTGCGCTACCTCGTAGCTTAAGAAATCGGAACAGAACAACGTAATCATTTACGCAAACTGTAAGTTTTATCCGTTCATTTTCTAAATTATCGTTATCGTTCTTGCTAAAGTCAAAAATAAATCAAAGTAGTCATTAAACATACGACAAAAAAATGTATTCTTTTGAACTTTTTTTTTATATAAGTCCAACACTCACACCAATAGGGTATTTGACAGTGTTAAAAATATTGTTGGCATCTGTGTTTAGAATGAATATTGGCAGGGGTTTTTACTATTGTTACAAAAAAAATTATTCATAATTTTACTATAAACCCTCGAAAAAGATAATTAGTTTTCTTATCTATTGTCACGTGACCCAAAACGCTAGGGATTGGCGGGGCCTAAAATAACGTCACACGCAGGTAAACTTCCGGTTAAACTGACATTACATTGTATCGTTTGACGTTTTAATAACAGTCGTGTGACGTCACACACTAGTAAGACGCCATATTGTCCAGAGAAACGTTTTCGCGGCAACTTGAAAATTGAGTTTTTGATTTGGTTATTTTTACTGAAATACACAACAGAATGATGAATATCCACTTTTTACGGACTCCATAAACATTAGTCAATAACGTGAGATCGTTGCCTAAAACTTATCAAATACCCTATTATCGTTATGACATGTAAAATTTATTCAAAGGTTTTGCAATCAATCGTCAATAATATCAATCATTAAACATAGGTCAAAAGTTAAAAAAAACAGTATATTTTGTATTCTTTTGAACTTTTTTATTAATATAATTCCAACGCACACCAATTAGCCTAGCCCCAAAGTAGGCACTGGAGTCAATTCTGGCAGGATTCTCTAAACTTAAAACTAAATTTAACATCAGTCTGGTCTTTTTACTCTATATAGAGAAAGACAGGGATATACTGTTGTCAAATTTAAGTTTAGGTTTAGAGAATCATACCGGAATCGACACGACTGTAAGGCTTGTGTTATGTGATACTAGCGTAACGGAAAGAATACATATAAAGTACATATAAAAGTATATTTATATAGAAATACATATTAAACATCCATGACTGGAGTACAAATAGTCGTGTTCATCACACAAACATCTGCCCCGAGCGGGATTCAAACCCGTGACCTCTCGAGTCGGCGACACCATGAAGCCCGGCGTACAAACCACTCGGCCACGGAGGTCATCGAATCATACTAACCTGACGATATCCCTCGTAGGCGGGTACCCGGGCACTTGCACGCTGACCCCGCTAGTGATGTAAGCGTAGGGCTCGCGCTCCACGACGGTCCCCTCCCGCGACAACATGGCGGCGCGACGCAATATTATGAAGTCGCGGGGGGCTATCACTCCTCCTCCCCCACCCGCTGTCACTTGGTACGAGAGATCTACTCCGGGGGATATTTCCTACGTGCAAAGTAAGAGATCGATTTAGCCTTATGTTAGCATTTTTTACAGATCGGTCAATAGTATAGTTATTGTTTTTATCTCAGTTTGTTTATGCTAAATCGCACCACATCACCTGATCTCCCCGCCATCTTATCATGTGACGTGAAGGGGGGACGGACTAGCGAGTGGAGCGTTCATAAATCCGTTATTAAGTCGAGAGCCTTCGTAGTGAATACTGGTCCAAAATTTAACTTGGTGTTGCTGCTAAATATTCTAGTTTTAATATTTTTAGTTTGTATTATAGTGAAGTACAAGTTGAATAAAGCAAGTGGAAAATTAACATTGTGTTTTAACTTCTGGAACTAACCTAATACTTATGAATAAAATGGTGGCTGAAAATTGTCCTAAACGTACGTACACAATAAGGACGATAAGCGACTATATTTAAAAACGCTATAATATACTATATTTTTAAACAAAAACTCTTTTAATGGCGATTGCCACGTGATTTAATCTGGGACCTATCTAAGGTATGTAAGGTAGGTAGGTACTCGATACATGATTAAATCACAAAACCAGAAATCACTTGCCATAGTACAAAAAGACGGAATCCGGTACAGCAATAACTTTGGAAAACCGCACTGTGCAAGCAAACCAGGGTAAGTAAGGAAACTTAATGGGGACACCAATGAGCGACAAGAAACAATGATCCACATTTCCGAGCGTCTATAGCTCGGTGTCCGTCATAGGTGCAACTACCTTACCCTTATTTGAAAAAAATCTTATCAAACTATGATGTGTGGGGAGAAATATACATTCTTTAAATGTAATAATTATGTAGTCGCCCCGCTAGTCATATAATGGTACACTTTCGGTCCACGACGGTCCCGTTGCGGGCCAACATGGCGGCGCGACGCAATATAATGAAGTCGCGGGTAGTTTTCCCGAAAATCGCGGTAAAGCATTTTATCACCTTAAAAGCCCCCCCCCCCCCCTTCCCGACCTCAAACGGCCCGTTATTTTTCCCTTTTTTTTTGTGAAATGGGATCTCTTCCTTTTTTCCGTTTTACTTTCAAAAATTTATCGGCCCTGCACTGAAATGGGTTATGGTAGGGCTGCCATCTCTAAAATGTGGCAACCAGGATAAGACGCGTGATAACCCCGGATATTGATGCCCAGAACCCGGACAGACCAATAAAAAAACAGTTAAAAAAATGTCACAAATCAACTTTTATATGTTGATCTAGGCAAAAGAGCTAGCGGTCTACCTCATAATAAGTGGTCACTGCTGCCCATGGACACTTGCAGCACCAAGGGCCACTCATGCGTTGCCGTAATTTTTTAAACCCGGACTACAAATAAAACCCCGCCCGGACGCTCCCCGGACGCCCCGTAAACTAGGACAAATCCGGGGAAACCCGGACGGATGGCAGCCCTAGGTTATGGTAAGTACTCACCTTGATGAATTCACTCCTGAGTATGGTGGGATTCCATTTTGGAAGATTGCTTAAGTTGTTCTTGAATTCATCGTAAAGATATTCTGATGGACATTCCACTATGCCCTGGAACAGGAAAGCATAATTTATTTCTTTAATTCACTATACATGTCAGCTGAGGAGCTCGATGGCGCCAGTGGTTAGCGCGTTCGGCTGCGGTCGTTGAAGTTAAGCAACTTTCGCAGTGGTCGGTCATTGGATGGGTGACCAAAAATTTACTATCTCTAGCTCCTCCGTGCTTCGGAAGGCACGTTTAGCCGTTGGTCCCGGTTGCATCTGCAGTCGTTAGCACCCACCAACCCGCACTGGGCCCGCGTGGTGGGTCATGGCCCAATCTCCTTAATCCATCCATAGGGAAGGCCTGTGCCCCAGCAGTGGGGACATTAATAGGCTGATGATGATGATGACATGTCAGCTAACGGACTATAGCCAACATGCAGGCAAGTCGTTCAAATAGTAAATTCCCGAGACGACCTCCGTGGCCGAGTGGTTTGTACGCCGGGTTTCATGGCTGTCGGCGACTCGAGAGGTTCCGGGTTCGAATCCCGGTGGGGGCAGATGTTTGTGTGTTGAATACGAGCATTTGTACTCCAGTCATGGATGTTTAATATCTTTATATATATCATTCTTCTGTGAGTGTGTATGTCACTGAACTTCTCTTAAACGACTGGACCGATTTTGATGAAATTTTTTGTGTGTGTTCAAGGGGATCTGAGAATGGTTTAGATTCACAATTTTGTCCGCTGGACAATGTTTTTTTAATTATTTTTTTTATAGCGGTACGAAGTTCGCTGGGTCAGCTAGTGTATTTATATAAATATACTTATATATGTACAATATATATATTCTATCCGTTACCCTAGCATCCCATAACACAAGCCTTATAGTACTTACTTTGGGGCTAGGCTAATAACGGCTTATTGATGTGAGTGTCGGAAATATTTATTTATTATTTTTTTATTTATTTATAATTAACAAAAATTTATCGAGTGTCATTTAAAAATAATATTAAAATGTCAAATTAATATTAATTACTGTCAAATTTGATTAAAGTCAATAGATACATAATTTTAGTAACAATTATTACAAATAACTTCAAATGTCAAACAAGTTAAACCAGTGTCAAAAATCCTTTTTTCCAGCCTTTTTTTAATAATACAATTTCAAATTAATTCAAATTCTAAAAATATCAATGTCAATTCAGTTTTGTTTACGTCAAGACTATAATAATGTGTGTATAGTGTATGATTAATAAAAATATCGATCATTTTAAGACACGTCACTAGTTCGAGGATCATTAAAAATAAGTGCTTTTATAAAAAGTTAAAACTTAATGCAAATATTTTAAGAAAATTAGAGAAGACTCGTATGTTGTAATTCAACGCCCTTCAAGCTTTATTTGTATTTTTGTAACACCCTGTATAAGTATACCCGTATAGAAGGTTGTCCATACGAGTTTACACAGCATGGTTTATATAGATGCCACATAAATCTTAGGGTAATATTGCTTGCAACTTACCGTAAACCGGTACACCTTCCCAAACTGCTCTGTCCTCTTCGACTCCACGATGTCACCATTGGACCCCCTCTTCTCTACCACCCAGCTGGGTAGATGAAGCACCCTCCATGCATTCTGCATGCTCTCCTCAGCTTGCGATATGTATTCATCTATCTGTTGACAAATAAGTAGATGCATATCAAATATATAAAAATACCCTAGATACAACATCCGGGGGGTCCATACAGGGTGTAAAAAGACCTTCCACAAAGCCCCATGCATTTTATACATCAAAATAAGAAACTTGGAAAAAGCGAGCGAGCTTCGTTAAGTGCTGATTTCAAATGTCATTTTTCGCTATGAAATACTTAAAATTTTGGTAAATATATCTTTGGACAGAAATTCAGAAATATATTTAAAATTTGTTTCCATAAAAACATTAAAGAGCTTTTTGATTTTGATCTTCAATAATGTCATAGCTATTGATCTCCCAAGTATAGTTTAAAAGACAAAATGATCCCGATGATGGGTATACGTGGTTTTCTACTGTTTTGACCCTGTAAAGAAGGTGCAGCCTTGAAGCCTAAGAAATACTAGGATAAATTCGACACGGCCATTATTCTAGTAAAAAAATCTTTAGATTTAAAGATAAGGTTAGTATCTAAAGCGCTTTTGAAGTTTATATTTGTCTTGGAGTAGTTTGGGAAATAATTTTGGAGTACTTTGAGAAAAACCCTTTAAATATTTTTTTAAGACTCATCATTGTGTTTAGTTTTTACTTTTATTTTTTATTTAACTCACCGTCAGCCACACAGGTTTATACTCCTCATCCTGGGAGACCCTATTGAAGATGTACTTCATCCAATTCAACGAGAACCCGAATCTACTGATGACACTCATCTTCTTCTCCAACTCCTCGGTCGTAGTGGCCTTCTCCAGTTCATCGAGATGTTTCTCCAATATTTCTTCTTCCATTTCAGGAGTTTGCTTTTGTTCTAGAGACGCCGAAGATGATGCGGTAGCGGCGGCCATTTTGTTTACGTCAAGTGTCACTTTCAGTTCAAAATGTCCGAAATATGCACTGTTTGGTTTTGCTTATTCGAATTTAGTTGTTTGTTGTGGATGTTGTTGGGTAACTCTTTGTAATGCACAATACGGAGTTAATACGGAAGCCGTTAAGCAGTCCGCGCGGCTTACGAGCGCTTACGGCATACTATAATATCCTCTACGCTGTTAAATTCGGAGGATTTTCGCAAAAATTCACCATACTTAAGAGTCCTTTCACTTTTTTTGCAAAAAATCGTAATTTTTGTGCGCCTTATTTACCCCCTTAGAAAAGATCTAGACTATTTCCAATAGAAGTTAACAGTAGAATTATTCTTCCTATTGTAAGTTAATGTAGAATATTTGTAAATACTATTTTCCTTTTTTTGTACTGATCGTTCTACTGCAGCTAGTTTACAGAAAAAACGATAATATGCACAACTTCAAACGCCTCAATCTCTCAATAATGTTCAATAAATTAGATCAAATTAATTACTACGACATCAGAAATATTTTTTTATTGTAACATAATGTATTAGAATTTTGATTTTCTATCTCAATTATTATCAAAAAAAAATGCAGGTTTACCTCAGATTTTTATATTGAATTAAATAGAATTACTATCAAAAATTTTCACAAAACTAATCTACCATCATTGAACTACTGACATGTGTATATATTTTTATAATTAGTTCATTAATAATTATTTTATAAGACTCGAAACATCACCCGTAAAATACAATATATACCTACTAGTGCAAATCTACCTACGCGCCGGTCAGTACGGCAGCGGCGCAATTTTGTAAAAGGGCTCTTAACAGCGTAGAGGGTAGGGTCACAGGGACTTTTAGCGGATTTTCGCGAAAATTCGATTGTCATGTAGTAAGATGATTATATATACTACATATACAGTAAGATCATCATCAGCCTATTAATGTCCCTATTGCTGGGCCACAGGCCTTCCCTATGGCCTAATAAAAGTTGTTCCTGTTGATGGGTAGAGGAATTAATCGTGTTTAAAACTTTAAAAAAAAATTACTAGAAACAAGGTTTTTTGGATTTAAGATTTATGCATTCATCATCATCATCATAAGCCTATTAATGTCCCCACTGCTGGGGCACAGGCCTACCCTATGGATGGAATAGGGAGATGGGGCCATACCCACCACGCAGGCCCAGTGCGGATTGGCGGGTGCTAATGACTGCTGATGCAGCCGGGACCAACGGCTTAACGTGCCTTCCGAAGCACGGAGGAATTCGAAATAATAAATTTTCGGTCACCCATCCAGTAACCGACCACTGCGAAAGTTGCTTAACTTCAACGAACGCAGCTCAATGCGCTAACCACTTCCGCCATCAAGCTCCTCTAAATGCATCTATATCTATTTAATTACACTAATATTATATAGGCGAAAGTTTGTGAATGTGTATGTTTGTTACTTCTTCGTCTTCAACCGTTTGTTGGAGCGATTTTAATAAAATTTGGTATAGAGTTAGCTGACATCCTGGATTAACACATATAGGCTACGTTTTACTGCGGGAAAATATCCCTAAGACACCTCAGGGAACAGCTAGTACCTAACAAAAACAAATTCGGAAAACCAGAACAACTTCATCACACGACTGTCCATGACCTAATTAAACGCATGTTTGTTTATAAGATTTTATGAACCGCACAATTTGTAACTCAAAAAAAAACCCCATTTTATTAACTGTTCAACACTTTGCAGACGTTTGTAACTGCACAATATAAATACACTACACATAAGTAACACTATGTAATTAATAAGAATCTATTTACTATAATACGAAAACTATTATAAACTATCAACACATCTTATCGGTTGGAATTGTGACGACAGACTGACTTTGGTCTTTGAATGGGCGCGAACGATATGCGTTTATCTGTCGACGGAACGTGACGATGTACTTTCGAGTAAGAAAAGTGTTAAGCATTATATTGGTTGAATTATTTTCATAATGTTATTTATTAGGGATTACAATTTCAATAAGGTTATTTTTTGTAATAAAAATTATGCCGCCTGCCTTGCAGCTTAAAAATGGTTAGAGGAATTTCGACGCGGCCGTCAGGGCCGCGGTAGCATAATTGGTCAGTGCATTCGCCCGGATTGCGAAGGGTGCGGGTTCGTTTCCCGTGTGCTGCCTGGTCCGCGTGGAATTTTTTCTAGTTATATTTTCTTTAAAAATTATTACTTTTGAATTGTCCCACCATCAATATTTTTTGAATAAAACTTCTTTCTAAGCAAGAAATATTTTTTCTTTATTAATAATTTATTTTATTTTATTAGCTGTTACATGCTTAAAAATAAATACATATATAAGAAATAAATTACTGAAGTGAAATGCGAGAAACTTGTAGGAAATTTAAATATCCGAGGCATAGGTACGAATTTTTAACAGCTCCGTTAAGTATCGTAATCGTCAAATGTTGTACGGAAAAAGCTAGTTTGTTCTTTAGTCTGATAGGAGGCGCTGTTTAGTTTTCATAGAAACTTTAACGATACTTTACGGAGCTGTCAAAAATTCGTGCTTGGTCCTCTGGAACGCGACAAAGCGGTTGTGACGTAGAAGTTCATAATCAACATACAAACGCTATACCATACTCTTGAGAACGCAGCCTTTAAAGGTTGCGAAACGTAAAATAACCATATGTATAAAAAAAACTCATTTCACACTCGTTAAAAAGTGTTTCACTTCATGAAAAACAATAAAAACATAAAACATGAAAAAATATATTTTTTTTATCAAAACTGTCGAATAACCCTCTTGCGTCCTTGTACTTAATAACTCATAATTTCCTGACATAGTTCCAGGTTATTATAAAAGATTATAATTACTCGAGTAATTTGAGCCAGCTTTGCTTAAAAACGGCCTAAAATAATCGCATTAAAATTGAAAAGAAGCAATAAATAAATATTGGAAAATATAACATAGCTCATGTAGAACTAATGACTATTGGATAATGGAATATAGAACTGGCCAAATGGTAGTCGGGCTACGCTCAAAGGACATGGCTAAGAAACTGCCCTTAACGTGTATAAATATTTCGCACTAGCCCGTAACTTTACAATATATTTTTATTAATTATTACGTGTTTATTATTATCATACAACTTTCGTGAAATTATCAAATATTTAAAAGTATAAAAATTGTCATCATGTCTGTTTAAAAAGCAAAATGTTCCGTTTCACAAAATAAATGAATAATAAATGTACACAAAAAATGTTTGTGTAAGTAACTATGACATATTTGGCCCTAATTTTTATTATAAGAAATCACTGAAGGTCTAAAATAATAGATTTTATTATTCAGATCAGGCTTGAGACAAGGCTGTATGCTAATGAATCCTTGAATTTATGCAAATGGACAAAATAAACAGATTTCCTGTCAGGCCGAAGATAACACATTATTTGTATTTATTTTCGCTTTAAAAAACTTTTTATGAAGAGTTAACTTTGCACGTTTAGACTGTTGTTGACCATGACTAAAAAAATATAATACAACAAAATTACTGGTGCAACAAAAGAAGTCAGACAAAAATAACAGAATATACGCAATTTAGCGTTCAAATAAGATTATTTTTTATGTGTACATACGAGTAACTACTAGCTTGAAATAAACTTTTTCTTTTCATAATTCTGATTTTTCTTCTTTCCATTTAACGACAACTCTCTATAACGCCATAAAATGTGTGTACAGTACCTTTAGTGTCGTTATGAAATGAATTGAAATGTCATTTATTCAGTCTAGGCTGTTACAAGCACTTGTGAAGGTCAAGAAGCTACGCCATCGGTTCGCAAAACTACGGCGGGAGACTTTGACTGAGAAGAACCGGCAAGAAACTCAGCAAGGGCTGCTTTTTTCTCCCTGTATTGATATATACAGAGTCGTCAAGTTGAAAAATGACTTCAGAGATACTTCTGAAGTCACCTTCCATTACATTATTTAGGATAGATATATAGTTACAATAAATTTTATATTTATTATATAGGAAGCCGCATTAGATAGGTACCATATTACTGTTACAAAAACTGACTCATACCCATCAAATAACAAATTACAAGAAACACTATGTCCATGCATTACGATCATTTAGATAATCATTAACT